AATTAGCTTGTTGTGACGTTGCTACATGTATGCGCTTTGAGAAACTAATAACTCACTTGTAAGAGGTGTGCTTGATATGTAGGAAAGTTGTAGGAACGATCGTGTTCAATAACTGCACGTAAATAATGTCCATAATTTACTGGGGATCCGGTTGTTTCAACTCGTTGTTGTATGTATGTAGGAGCAGTTGAAATTCTAATAAGTTAGTCAATTTGGTTATTGTAAAAGTCTTCAAATTCTTTTATAGTATACAACTTTGATTAAGTTCTGTTTCCTTGTAATGTATTGACAATTTTACGATCGAAAGATATACCTATATATAACCTTCATAATTCTAAAGTGTCTGACATAATCAGACGTGCTTTAAACCTTAAATGGTTGGGTCTTCATCATCTACATTAGCCAGAATTCTTCCACTACTGAACAAATGCCAACCTTTGGAGGATTCTCATAAAACCCAGAATTGCCAAATTTTGGACGAGAATCAATTTTTTTGAAAATTTCCACCGGGTAACTAAACTTACGACCAGACATCGAGGAAAAGCGGAACCAAATTGTCGTAACTTTAGGACATGCGTGTGTCCCAAGCGTGCTTCAGGTAGCGTGCCGCGTGTGCCGCAAAGAGCTAATTGACCACCGCTGGTGGGTCCCAACCAAAGAGAATATAACCACTATCGTCATTGGTCTTAATAGCACCGATGTTCAGCCGGGGTTGCGGGATAAGCGCCCTAAGGTAAGACGGCCTCGGCCTGGAGCAGGAGAAGAAACGGCAACGGGTTCTTAGTAAAATTCTGACACTCCCTCTCGCCTCACCAGAGAAGTCATTTTATACAAAATAGAAGAGAAAGAAGAACATGCTCGTGTCTCTAATTTTTGACACCGAATTTCAATCTTTTAGTAATCACCAATATCAGCGGTGGAATACATAACTATGTACTTGCATTGTCCGGGTGTCTTTTATTGATTTGAAAGTCGTAAGTTTGTAAGTACCTAACTTGATTCAAAATAATTGACTGATAAATTAGTATCTGTCTGTTGTCAGCCTAAAGACACTGCAAAACAAAAAGTTCGTCACCTGATAATGGGGTTAAGAACCTTTTTTTTATAAAAAAAAATATAACAAATCGTGATACCTCTATATGCATTTGTGTTATACAAAAATGGGCATATATATAAATGACTTTTCGGCTCCATTTTGCATAACATACTTTTCTTTGTCTTTCACCATAAAGAATAGTCACCAATTTTAAAACCTATCCATAAACAACAAAGCTAATTGACTAACATCCGTCAGGCATATAACATAAACGATGGCAATTACATAAGCGGGATTAGGTACTCGAGCAGGTACATAATTCCTTTACAACTTATTTACTTTATTCTTTGATGTTCCTAAGAAAAGTCGACCCAATTCTTATCTCAAAGACACGTCAAGCCTTGGTGCCTTGTCAAAGGCAAGAGGCTGGACCTAATAGGGGCACTCGAGGCACGAGGCTGCCTCCCCGTGCCCTTGCCTCCTTTGACGTGCCAACGAAATGAAGGCAATTTAAAAAGGTGAAACGTCACAAGGATTTTGGCGGTAACCTATTTTGTTGATGGTCGATGGGGCCACAGATAATTTCAGTAAACGTTATTTAGTTCTTTGCTTTAACAATGTTTCGAGTTATCCCGTTGGTTCTCCATAATTTTATTCTTCATTGAGATATTAATCTTAAGCAGAAGGATATTATATATTTATTGTAATACCTTATTGGTCTACCTACTTGCTACAACAGTTTTTTGGGACCAATTTTAATTTCTCAGCATTTTTTAAGTTTTTATATCTTCTATTTGCCATTGCCAATAGATTTATCCGTAGGTCTAATACAATCATATCAGTCAGATGTGTCACGAGTACTGCATTTCGATCACGTTGTGAAAAAGCAAAAAATGTGTCAACAATGAATCTACGTGAGTCAGTTTTATGAGATTTCAGTTTTATAGCCATATTGGAATTTAGTTAAGGTTTCGCGTTACTAGAATCCGAAGCGACGTTGAAGTGTCACACGATGTACGTATAACCTTAACATAATGTAAGTACTTGTAGGTATAACATTTAGGTCCGTCGCTGATTGTGATTTGACGGTGTCTTTTTGCCATTAAGATGAATGCAATAAAAATATAGTAGAGTGAGTTGGCTGCGGTGCCGTGACTATACTAATCCAAACTAATATTATAAATGCAAAAGTAACTCTTTCTGTCTGTCTGTCTTTTTTTCACGCCTAAACTTCTGAACCGATTTCTGTGAAATTTGGTACAGACATAGTTTCGAACTCGAGATAGTTTTTACACTAAAATCTGTAGGAAGCAATTCAGCAACCATTCAGCGTACGGAGTCGTGAGCAAAAGCTAGTGTAACAAATATTTGCGTCGTGATTGTAAACCGACCATTACACTGAAAGTCTGCTCACTGTTAGTGACTTTTTTCTGATTTTTTGTTTGGAAATCCATTATACAAATGCGTGCGATTTGCCACTCACGAACAGTTTCAGTGAGCGCATCGTGAGTGACAATAAGTAACAAAAGTGGCAATCAATGGCAGTGGTAAATGATTTAAAATGATCAAGGACCACTATTCTCCTTGAATATTATGGAAACAAAGCATGATATTGTCCAAAACGTGTGTCTTCTTCAGCATTTAGTACCTAGTCCTATATATGAAAACATAGTTAATCGATTACAAACGGCTGATCTAGCAGTGGATATTTTGGAGATAATATGGATTTATCATAAAGCTCTTAAAAAAATAACAAAATTAGTTGGAATCTTTGAAAAAACCGTAAACTACTGATAAAAATGTATTGTATTGTATACAATACCTAAAGGACAAAATATGAAACATAACAAATTAAATGTAAGTTAATTAGTGTCATCAGTCAAATCTTTCCCATTGAGATGGTGTTAGTCAACGGGCGTCAATCATTCGGCCTGGCGAGCAAACTGAGTTAGGTATGTATCATCTGTAATTTGACTTTGATTTTGACTTGGATCTGTTGGTAAGCAATTGGTCGTCGCCCATGGATCCACACTTTGGAACGAACAAATAAATTGATTAGAGGGCTGATTGACAGACTCAAACTTTTTACTTTAAAATCTATGTTTCAGGTCAAAAGTGCATAAAAATGGTCTAATACAAACACTTGATTTGACTTGAAGAAGAATTAAAATTTGTAACCGTGAGTAGGTAACCTCACTCACACGACAAAATTGACGCAAACCTTGCTTCTGCCTTACAGTAATAACAACATATCAACGCCTAAATCTGTCAATAAAATGGAAGAAAATAAGCGCGTCTAGTTTATGGCCATTCTCTAAACATGCTCTGTCAACGACAATCCACCGTGAAATAGACTTCACCATATTGTTTTATTATGGGCAGCGTTTTATCCCAGGAAGTCGTAAATATAAAGTGGAAACACACTCGATCTGTAATCGATGATGGCGAAAGATTATACACCTGAACTAGCTGCGCCTATATGTACCAGTAGTATGTTTATATGCAAAAAAATTTAATGTGTAAAATACGTCATATAAAACTTATAAATCCGATTTTCAAGAAGGTAGTTACCTAGGCTTTTATCTAAAATACATTACCAGCCAATACTTATATTTATTTATTTATTTAAACTTCATGCACAATGGGTACATAGGCGGACTTAATGCCTTAGGCATTTTCTACCAGTCGAGCCTTGGGTGATGCAGAGATGAGCCAATGGTCGGTGCAAGAAGCAAGCAAGCAGACTTAAATTTAAATGAGTGAAGACGAGATAGATACATATATATGTGCAAACCTTATACTCTTGCTACGGGCATGTCCTCAACCAATAAGAATGATTAGAACTAGAAAAATCTATATTAGCTTACCTAGTACCTACATACTAATATTTCTATAAATCTTTCATGTGTGTGTCACGTTTTACATCACATTTTAATATGATATTACCTCATATAATATACCATTCTCTCCTCTGAAAATTGTACCAGAAGAATAGTAAGTTGTTACGCAAACCACATAATACAAGAAAGCGTGAATTATTTAGATTAAATAAAATCACAAAACGAATATGGGCGGTGAAAATCAAAATATTATAAAAGCGACATCTACCTTATGGATCCTGAACTATACTATGATCCGTGTCTTGTAATGTTGACGATAACTTTCTAGCAACGACATCTAACGACTTTAATCAGAAACAAGTATAATAAAATAAAGAGTTTAGTTTTAAACGCTACAGATGTCTCTAACGAAGCTATTTTACCGACTAGTGTATGCGTACAACAATATGACTAAACGCTGAATCAACTATGTACAAATTTAGTCTATTAATCTAGATTCAATTCTACATTTTGTTTTCATCTGAAATTGTGTTTTTGAGAAATATTCATAATCTTAGTAGACAATGTGCAATTTTTTTTGTTTTCGGTTTAATGTCAAATATCGTTATTATTATTATAATATATATTTCACTCGTCTTTCGGTTATCATAATATCATCGTTTATCATCAATAGTTTTAGTATTATTTTTAAAACCAAACTATGCACTGTTTCTTTAATTTAGTTATTTAGACATATTTTCAGGTATTCACGTCATATCCACTAAGTAAGGCATTTATCAAAATTATTAAACAGACTACAAAAATATAATTCAATTTTGACTCAAAAAAGCAAAAATGACAAAATTATACAAGAAATGCTTGGAAACAAATAACCTTAAAAAATTGTAACTTACTGTTGTAAATGCAATAAATTCAGTGTCAATATCGTAGGTTTTTTGGTCCATATTAATTAAAAAAGAAATCCAATTCTTTTTTTACTAAATTTACAGAATTTGGCACATTATCCGCGTACAGCACTATTATTGACGTTTAAAATTTTCTTGGTCTGCTTTACCGACAGAGAACAAGGGGCGCATGCGTATTGTGCGTTTTGTTTTTCCTCTATTTCAATTGGTTTGTTTTGTGATTTGTGTCATGTCCCGAACTCTTGCTTGTATTACCCATAGCTTGTGTATTTTTTAGTTGTTTCAATTATTACGAATATTAAAAAGTTTGATGGTAGAATTAGTAATTAAATTATTTATAGTATTGTGATGATAAGTGCTGTGAATAAGTATAGTATTCAGGGCTGGGAAACTAAGGCGGCACCGTGGAGTCACGAAAACGAAGGTAAAGAATATTTTCATTGTTTCTAGCGACGCTTGGTCCGCTTAAAAAATGGTAATCGATATCCCTGGCTGCATTTCGGCAAAAAAACTGCAGTTATGACTTGCATATGACGAAAATGAGTTGTAGATCTTGATAGTAGATTTTTTGATATTTTTATTTTCTGATTCAACGCTAGCCACATGGGTCGATAATCATAAAACGTAACCTGTCGGCTTCAATATGATATTTGGGTACTTTGAGGGTGCGAAATGCATTTATCAGCAAACAAATTTCAGTGTAAAGTACTTTTAAAATCTGTAACATATTGTATTGAAGTACAAATCTACTTTGGTACGTAACAGCTGGAGTGCAGAACATTAAACTAAAGTAAACAGGCGTCACTCGCACCATTCGTATTTTCTAAACACACATCTGAGTCAGTTATTTATTTTGAAAATGTGCATTAATTAAAGTTGAAATTTCCCACATTTTCTTTGAAACTTCAATTTAAATTGTGTTGACAGTTTCTAGGTCTCATTATAATTTATAATGAAGCAATTCATTGATCCGCCTTTAATTGCTTTTATTCCAAATTCTGCCCTTGTCCTAAAAATAAATTAGGAAAGTGGAGTCGGGCACATGGCATACATGTGAATCATTGGATTTAGAAATCATATTCCTTTTTAACACATAAAGATCATGGTTGTTTAAGCCCTATAAACATACTCTTTTGATTTCTTGTAACTTACAAATATCCATGTGTTTCTAAAAACATAAGATTTATACTTCCAAGTGTTGATGATTAACATTTACTTATTTCATTGATAGAAAATAAACATTTCACAACACTAAATGTTTATATTAACATACACAATAATATAGGAAAATGGGTCAAAGTTAAGAAAAACAATTCTACCACACTTAAATTAGTAATATATACAAAGATATTAGGAATTCTTTATATCATTTGCCGTAAAACATTTAATTATTTATATTTATGGAAACAACAGTTTTATTTTTTTCAATTCCCAAATAAATGTTGTCTCTAACAAATAAAGATTGGTCTTTGAGCACATTTGATAAAATGCATGTAATTGCAGAATAAAATGAGTAATCTTCTATTAACAAGCAGGTTAAGAATGCTTAAGCATAAGACAGTATTTCTTTGTGTACTTCACTTCGTGGTGGTCATCATAAAGATCACATGGCGTACATGTGATCAAGAAACTTGGTAAAAATTGCTACAGTCTTCAAGAAATATTAACAAAATCAAATGTTGTACTTCATAAAACCATAAAATGAATAAAAATATTGATTACATAAATAGAAAAAAATAGTTTAAAATTGTGTATACAGTTGTGTTTATTTTTTTGTGTAGACCTGAAGTGACATAGTGTTTTGCTTCTAGTAGTGATTAAAAGCAAGTAAGTAATTATATTTGATTTTATGCAATTTACAAATTCCACAGTATGCCATTTTGTGTACAAAAATACTAAATATTGTGTTAAATTAATGAAAACTTTATGCCTCCATAAAGTGTAAAGAGAAACAGTATGGCCTTTCACACAACATAATTAATAACCATGTGGAACAAATGTTTAAGGAAGGAACTCAGTAAATTATTTATACATTTATATTTTAGAAAGTTAAGTGTACAATAATTTCATTCAATTATGAATTACGGAACAAATGACATATTATAAATAAGATAAATATTTACAAAGTGGGTCATGCATATAACAATGAAAATATTATTTATTTGGTTATAACAGGTTAATAAACAATTATTATGTTATAATTATTAAGTTAATAGAATAGGCTAAAATAGTGTAGGTCTAAATTTATTTTTAATATAATAATAATAACTCGGACACTGACAGTTAGATGGTCACATGGCAAACATGTGATTAAGTTAACTCAGTAGATAATGTAGCCTGGACTACAATTCCCCCAGTGCTGGACATTTGCATATCAAATTTTTAATATTAATTTAATGATATAAATCAAATCATTTATTACCAGTTTAAAGAATAATAATAAAAGCAACTCTCATACAATGGTTTGTATGAAAGCTTTGTTGAATAACAACTATCAAAAAACCAGGTAGCTGAGTCTGTAGAGAATTTAAAGCTTCCGGAATGAGGTCTCCAACCTGGCCTGCCTACAGGGATTATTGCAACTCTCCTACATAGCCACACAAAGTCCAGCTAACTACCGAGGGTTCTTGATACTTTTGTGACTGATTCGTGAAAGTTATAGAATATGCAATTATTCAGAAATATGCAAAGATTGTATGCATAGCATTTGTTTAAATGTGTATTTCTACATAACCCTTTTTCATATTTATTCTTTCAAGTTCCTATTTAGACTTATGTAACACCCATACCAGTGCATGAAATGCTACAAAATTTAAGAAATAAAAAACCTAATATTGATCTAGTTTATGTTGTCTGTGATCCATGTGACTCGAACAGCAAAACAGGAAACTGTATCAATGTAAAATTGGTATCTGGTATTCCCTGTGAATAAACAGTACAGTAACAGAAATATCAGAATTTTAAATCTTAACCGCACCTAGTCTGACTCATGTGAACTTTGGATCTAAGAATAAGATCTAAGGATTATGTTAAATGGCTTTATAAATTACTTATACTTAGAATATGCATTCTGTATAATTCCATGTGACTAAATGTAACACCATGGATTTAATTTCCTTGAAGATTGTTTTGTGTTGTATTTTTAGTCTACAACATAGACATAATCGGACAGTATTATTATATTGTAGTGATAAATATCAAGAGTCGGTCAACCTACTCCTTTCTGTTAAATTTCTTGGTTGTTTCGATGCAAAATCGAAAAACTAATGAAAAATAATACCATTCATAAGTATTTTAGCAATTAAAAACTGATTTTTTACTTCATCGATGAATTTTCAAAATGGGTTTCCTTGCAAAGTTTGTTAGCAGAGGTCATTAACACATTCTTACTCAGATACTAAGCTCTTCACTTTATACTCCTTGTCAGCACCATAGTCAAATTTAATACCATAGACAGACGTTGCTGGTTTGTCCCGAAGATTTATCTGGGCAGTGAGTAACATAAACGTAGATGGTCAGTACTATAATAAGTGTGAGTGGTAAATACCATAGACACAGCTGGTCAGCACTATAGACACAACTGGTTATTACCATAGACGTAGCTGGTTATTACCATAGATGTAACTGATCAGTGCCATAGCAGTTGAGATTGTAGTATCCCAGAAGCTAAGGTACCATGTGACCATTTTGCAGCTCACATGCACTTTCTTAGATTATTTTGACACCTTTTTAATGATAATTTTAATTTACATTATATGGAAACCTGGACTTATAATTTCTAGTTATAAATTTGAAAATTCCAATCCTTAGCCTTAAGTGTGGTGAATAATGCTTATTCGTACTCCATGACTAAAACGATATCATTAAGATATTGCTACATACTTCATCCCATGACTTATAATAACATACCATTAATGCATATATTATTATGGTCAATAGACAATATTTAAAGCCATTCGTTTTTTGTTTCACCTTTTATTTTAACCTGGCCATAACTTCCTGGTAGATTTCCACGATTTTAAAAGCAGTAAGGTCCGAGTCCGAAACACACCTTATGATTTTAAACTATTTATACTATAGTATTCTCGTTAAATAATTTTATACGAAGGTCTTTTTCTTTGTTTTATTTCTAAGAGTCCTTTGGAGACGATAGTTTCCAATAAAATGCTAATGAAATCCAATCACGCTCTGAGAGGTTTTTTAATTGCGTGGTATTAAGATAACTACGGCAAATCTATTGGTACTTGAGATACTTGAAAAATCAATTAATATTCTTATGTAATTTGATTGTATTTTAAATGAGAGAGCTTTAAATATCACCGGCCGGTCGTGCTTGTGCACAACATGCTTGTAATAGGATATAAGGTAACACAACGACATTCTCCAAATGTTACCTAAATGTGTACATATAGAATAAACGTTTATTATATTCAGCAGTCTACCTGCTCGCTCGGTCCGCACCGCTCCGGGAGCGACTCAGCAAAAAAGTAAAAAGATAATTTTTCGTAGAGTCGGGCCACGGACGAGAAAGAACAAAGGTTTTACGTTCTTACCTAGTTATAGCTAGTTAGTTATACGGGCTCCCCGCAGGTGTAACTTGTTATCTTTTACCAAGAATTCTTTCATTTTATTTTTCTCCAAGATCAAGAAATATGTTGTAAAAGTATCACCGTAAAGTGTTTCGCGCTTAGACGGCTGTTACCCGTCATCATTGAAACACCGCTCTCACCGGAATCTCATACGTTATTCAAATTAAGTAAAGGTTCACCCTTCTAGCGGAAGAGACCAAATGACTAAACGAGGTTTGAAATTGACTGGTTGAATTTTTAGGGTTATACGAACTTAGTGCTATAACTACCTACATCGCTCAGGTCATGTTTTTGACAGTTATTTAGGTATTTTAATACACATACTTGTGTAGCGGATAATACGTGAAGCGAATTCTTCCAAATCTAGTAATAGACATAAGGCTACGACATACATTGTAAAGTTAGTTATTAGCACAGCTCAATGTTCATCCGGCTTCGATAAGACCAACCGTCACGTAAGCGGGTTTCGATGGTAAAAAACCTGCCGGGTGGCATTCACCCGACGCCCTTGAACTGCTCGGCGGTTCAGCACTCAGCTGGTCAGAGCTGTTCTAAGCCTTGAGTTTGTCTAGGCCATTCACCCAAGTCCTGAAATAACCACTTGAACAATTGTCCACTAAAATAATTGCGTACCCAACAGATAGTGACACCAAGTGACGATGACCCCGTTCTATTTTTACCGCCTAGGTACATGATGATCATCAACTTTGTTATCCAACTCTCCGGACAGTGTGCCCATGCTTACTGTTTTACACTAAAATCGAAACTCGTTATTAGTTTTAGTCTTTTTAAACACGGAAGATTGGCGACTTAGATATAAAATATCGTCCATAAA